TGCCTTGCCTTCAATAACAGCAGCTACACTGAAAAAAATCGAAATCTAGATATGTCATTTTTTCTTAAAATAAGTGCATTTGTTCTTGGATTGAGGAGGTAAAAGAGACATCTTGCCAATGGAACAAGACAATTTACATTTAAAATAAGAGAAAACAATTTAATTCTCTTATTTCAAGTGCATATGATCTAATTATCTTATTTTAAGAGTAAAAATACTCCTTCCATTGGCAAACTATCTCATTTACCTACTAAAATAAAGGGTAAAAGGAGTAAATTTAAGAAATTTTTACTTATTTCTATATAATTTTTCCAGTGTATAAGTGCAGATATTACAATAGGTTCTCCGGAAGCCTAATCCTATAGCAGCACACCTACTATAGTTGTTCTAGTTGATGATGGGCAGATGGAAAGGTTACCTACTGAATAAAAATATACTATCAGGTGCATTAACAGTAAACTATATCCATAAACGCATTATTAAGTAAAATGGGTCTAAAATTCTAGGTGGGTGATTTTGCTATTTTATACCTGGATTAACACATTTGTAGCAACATTACATATTTAAACATTCTGCAAAATTTTTAAATGCATCTCTTATGTACCCCATATAGCAGTCAACTAACAGTGTCACCTTTCAACTTCACTGCTTTTACACCACATGATGTAACCGAGGAGGACTACACAACTCAGCTGTCTGTCTGGACAGGGCTTTTACTTGAAAGGCATTTCCTAACTTCTGAGAGACAGTGAGTGGGAGAGCTGTTAGGACACTGCGACTTATAACCGAGACTAAATAAGGGAGACGTCCAGACAGATGCTAAGCAGACAGGCAGTGCTGTAAGAGGCTGCTCTAATTTTAGTCATTACATTTTAGCGTTGGGGTGAAAAGCCTCGCAAATTACTGTACAGTGTAAATCAGATGGACCGGATTGCCTTGTCCGTGTCTCTTCTGAAAACTGAATGTGAATATTTGCTGAGGAGTTCAGTCATTGCCTTGAGGCAGCGGTAGATCAGTAGAGGCTTTTTTTTTCTCTTTCCCCATTCTGTTAACTAAACTACCACTGGGAATGCACATTAGGGACTGCTTGTGTTAGGAACAAAGTGTACTGAAAGTGCATCCTCTTACGCCCTGCGGTGTGTATCAGTTAAAGCCGCCTTTGCTGTGAGAAAAGGCATGCTTTTTGTGAAGCACCCATATCAGGTGGAACAACAGCTCCTGGTGAACCTGCATTGCACACGTTGTCATTGATGTCCTGAAGTGAAACTAATGAATCATTGAAACCCTTTATCTTTGTTTGATAAAATATATATATTCAACATTTGTTCAGGAATAATGTTATATACTTAGAATTAATTATTGTTCATGATTTGAGCTTTTTGATGGGAGCTTTTCTGAAATATAAGAATTTGTTAATGTTGCTTCTGCACCAGGGGTGGAGCTAGAGGGGGGGCCAGGGGTGGCCATGGCCACCCTTACCCAATCATTGGCCCACCTCTACCATTTTTTCCCTATAATACTGACAGTGGCAGCAGTAAAACTCTCAATATTCAAAACATTTTAATTTTTCATGGATTAGCAATTACTTGACAACAAAAACACTGTGGTTAATTATGCACATTAATATACTAACATTAAAGATGATAAGTACAGAATTCATGCTCTTTTTTAGAACTAGATTTTGTGTTATATGGGTTAAAGAGAAAATGCAAAGCAGTCTTCAGTTAAGTCATAGACAACTATTCTAATAAAAACTTAGTAAATAAACAATTTCTGTAGATATTAGGACTTGTAAATATCAATTTTATGCAGAATGATTATTGATAAAAGTAGGTAAGTAATGACAATGGAAAAGATGTTCGACCCAGAACTCAAACCTGAAAAAATTTTATCCACTATACCTTTTTTCTAGATGGATGTTTAAATATATTCGTCTATTTGTTAGCAAAGGCTGTAGGAAAGTATAGTTTGTCTTTATTTGGAAAATATGGATGTTGTGGTTGTTCATGTTCCTGTTGGATCAGTATAGATTGACCCTAATTTTCTGGCACCTATCCCCTTTCAGCTACCCCCTTCAGTGCACACTGGTTATTAGGGATGTAACGATATTGACATTATCGCGCTATCGCGGTTGTAAATGTGTCTGGATATCGTAAGGGTTGGGTTACAATAATTAAAGGACAGGTGTCCGTCAAAAAACAATAGGATTAAACACAGTCCCGCGGAACAAATCATTGTTAACTACATAGACAATGATCCTTTGCACGCGGATTGCACGCTGTCCACACAAGCTCAAAGCAAGCTAGCATTGCCGACAGAGATAATTGTAAGGATGAAAACAACAACCTCCGAAGTTGAGATTGTGCCAGCCTCTGCAGCTTTTAAGTCAGATGTGTGGAAACATTTGGGTTTCGCCGTGTCAAAAAATGCAAAAGGAGAGAAGGTGGTGGACAGACAATGGACTATATGCAAGCACTGCCACAGTTAACTGCGATAGGTCAGTGTTTTATTAAAGGCTTTTTGACTGACTAATTTATTTAAGTTTAAGTTATGTTCCTAAATACCAGTTTTAAAAGGCTGCTTTTACTTGCCTTGCACATTTAAACCTGACTTAACTTGATATATGTTTGCACTTAAAGGGAATTCCCTATTGTTTACAATAGTTCTGGTTGCTTCTTAAATTGAACATTGCACAGAAGAATCAACAGAATATTGATGTTCCTGACTACAACTTTCACTTTAAGAGCACTATGTGATCAGCGTTTTATGTTGTAATGATCCATAAATACAACAATAAATTGCCTGTTAACTGGCAAAATCAGAAAAAATGTCTATTTTTTTGCTATTATCATCACAACACTATTGTGAGCCATTTAAAAGTACCGTCACCTTTTCCACAATATCGCAATAAATATTGTACCGTGAGGTCAATATCAAAATTGTATCGTACCGTGAGATTTCGATATCGTTACATCCCTTATTGGTTATTGCCTGGCCACCCTTATAAAAATATTCTGGCTCTGTTCTGAACTAAAAATGTAGCAGAGCTTCCACACCTCCCTGAAGGGGTTAGTTTCCATCAAAAGCATGCCACACTTCTAAGATAAAATAGTGAAAACAGTGGAGCTGTTTCCTTTCCCTTTTAAAGTTCTATCAATTGTATTTTATTTTATATAAACACAGCTGAACAAGTTCAAATTGTTTGCTTTAAGGATAAGAAGTGGAAAAGTTTAATTTGGGAGGCACTGTGTGTATTAAAGCTGCAGTATTTTGCTGTTATTCTGTTGGAAAACTCCCAGCTATAGTAAATAATCAATAAGCAGCAGTTGGATGAACATGCTGAGTGATGTATCATCACCCAGCAAGGGGACAGGAAGTGTTTACGCTTGTCTCTGCACCAACTGTTGGTCTGAGCTCCTCTCAGCACACTTCAAATATCCTCCTCCCTCTACTCATTTCCAGCGAGCTGATGCATGCCACGGAAGCAGTGACGTCAGTTGTTTACTGTCTTGTAGGTCGCTCCAGAGTTGCAGTGCAGCACCTTATCCAGCAGGGCTTATGTAACTCCCCCTGCCTAGTGCATGACTGGCACTTTACCTTTTTATTTTATTTTAGTGTTTTTATTCACCCTGCACTCTTCTTTCTTTGTGTGCAGGTGCATGCACATCACAGGACACTGAAATGCCATCCATGTTTTGCAGCTTTGCTTTCAGTTCTCTGATTGTTTGTCTTGTCAAAACACAGCAGGTTCACTGCTGGAATGGGTGAGTAGCTCCAAACAGAGCTTTCCCCTACCCACACATATCCCAGGGTCCTCCACTGCAGCTGCAGCAGGAAAGTAAACAACTCTGGCTACGTGTGACTCAAGGTGCACTGCTGCCAGGCGCCTCCTGCACGGTGAAACGTCGCCCCCTAGTGGTAGCACACAGAAGTCAACAAAGTTTTGCTTTGGGCAAATTTAATAACAAATTTAATTTCCTCTTAGAGGATGGTGCATTAAATCATTTTCTTTTCACACAGCTAATTTCTTTAAAAAAAATTATTAATCATATTATTTGAAAAAAAAAAAAAACTTTTGCATGTATTTGCAAAGTCTGACATTAAAAAGTGTAATGCTCCATCCTGGAAAAACATAATTGTCTAGTCATTTGTTGTTTTTTTATTTTTTACTTTTTTTGGAATACTTGTAACAAAAACAATATTTATTAGGAAATTGGTTTGGAAAGCAGATTTTTAAGTTAAAATCCACAAAATTCGAAGAGTGTCTTCAGATTTGGCCTCTTCTGACCCTTCAAAAAATTATATAAAAAAATGGGCAAATCAAAGAAAATTGCATTCCAAATATGATTCTGTTGTTGACAGAAACAAACAAACAAACAAAAAAAACAAACAAGCATCAGTTTCTTGGTCCTCCCTAAATACTTTATTGCTCAAGGTGTCACTTAGTTGCATTCCTAAAATTACTTTCCCAAATAAATATGCACTTAAGTGTCTCCCGAGCAAGACCTAACAACCTTAATAAAACCAATATGCATTTTAATTAAGTGAAAAGTTAAAGCAAGCAGTTAAAGTTTTGAAAAATATCCTTAAATTATTATTTTTTAAATGTAATGCCAGTAGGCCTTGCTCAAAAGCCTTAAACATGACAATAGGAAACAAAATTGCATAAGAAAATCCTTATTGAATTATGAAAATGGGCCATAAACAAGTATGTGCAGATTCATTGTAACTTGGACTTTATTACACTAGAATGATAGTGAGGAGAACCACCTTTGTGTCTATTTTTTAACTGAACTGTGAACAACCTGTTTGCAAAGTCACACTCATTGTCTCTCAGCTGCCCCCTGGTGGTCTACCTTAAAATAACAACGGTGCGTTTAATATTTATCTATTATTAAACATTTGTTTATAAATATGTCATAACATTTGCTTTAAAATATATTAAAATATTTTTTTCTATGTCATTTGTTTTGGTTGGGGGAGTTTAAGAAAAGACGACGGCAAAATCTAATAACGGAACAAAGGATCACGTCTCATTTCCAGGGGGCCACTTTGTCCGCGTACTCCAGGAAGTCATACAAATGCAGCAGATTGGATCCTCATTGAAGTAAACATACCAACACGGTAATACTTTTAATCATTTATCTGTATATTAGTATTGCTAATATAAATGTGTGACGTAGGTTTGAGGAGGGCCGCAGGGAAATTACATTAAATGTTCACATATTTGACTTAATTTGAATTATTTTTTGTCAGTTTTGATTTGTGAAAATCAAACAACAGTAACAAAGAGTAAATATTTTAGCGCGTAAATATAAGTTAATATAATAAAGGTGCGTATAGGTAGACATGTTGGTGGCAGTTAGAACTTCCATCTAAAGTATCATTTTTTTCTTTCTTGGTGTTGTTGAATCAGAGGTTAATGTTGACATGTTTGAACATGTCTAAAGAAATCAGCACTGGACATGTTCTAAAACCTTTCCTTTGTTCGTAGCAACATGCTTAAGAAAACAGTGTTAGAGAACATTTTACAATTTTAATAGAACCTTTTGCTGCTGTGAACACATAATTCAGCATTAACCTTTAAACAGTTTTAGCTAAAGTGCTCTAGATTTAAACTTGAACTCTGTCAAAACTAGGACTGCAGCTAACGATTACTTTGCAAACTGATTCATCTGTAGATAATATTTTTAATTAATAATCAGATTGCAAATTTTCCAAAAAGAAGACTTTTTCTGAAAAAGCTTTTTTTTTTATCTTAAATGCAAAATGTTTATTTATTTTATTTATTTATTTTTTTTTTTTACAATTTTGCTATAATACCTGCCCTAAGTGGGCCGCTCTGTCAGCTGAAGACACATTTTAGAGTCTCTACACAGCAGTTAACTATTAATCGATTACTAAATTGATTGTGATTATTTCAATAATTGATTAATCACCATTAATTCAATTAATTGTTTAAACCGATGGGGCAAAGTGGTTCGTATCAAGCTGGTTTTACAAGGGCTGATGGCCTTAAGAGGCATAAACTTTAGCACTAAAACTATTTAATATTTATTTCTCTCTGATTTAAAATTGTCTTTAAATCATTTGGATGTGATTTATCAGATTCTCAGAACCACTTCTTTTATAAGCGAGTCTCTAAACCCCTTTAATCAGACTGAGATCTCTCACCAGCAAAATAAAAATAAAATACTTGTTGGTACTTTTACCTACAGATTAAATGTTTCTCTGATTAACACATTTATTTTTCTAAATTATCCCTTTAGTGTAGACTTTGCGTGGACAATGATTCAATATCAGTTTAAAAAATATATAATTTTAGGCAGTGGTTAGCGCACACAACCCATGAACGGAGGCCTTAGTCCTGGATGTGGCCGACCCGGGTTCGAATCCGACGTTTGGTCCTTTACCGTATGTCTCTCCACCTCTCTCTTACCCAATTTCCTCTTAGCCTACTATCTATAAAAACAAGCCACTAGTGCCATTAAAAAAAAAAAAAAAAAAAAAAAATATATATATATATATATATATATATATATATATATATATATATATATATATATATATATATATATATATATATAATTTTATTCAATAACAGTGGCATGATATTTGCAATATTTCAATACCTTTCACAGTCTACTATCGTAACATTTGTCAATGAATGAGTGTTCTATGTGGTCTAAACTTTTTTTTTTCTATTTGAAACAAATATTTTCTCAACGTTTTATTGGAGATATTTTATAAACATGGCAAAGTAATTGTCAGAAGTTTGTAAAGGCATCTGCGTGGGTATTCTTGGCAGTCTTTTCAATGCTTTTATTTTATTCATATCAAGACGGAAATTATGTCGTATAGACAGAAATATATTGATATATATTTTGGCCAAATAATTTTTTTTAGCTATTAATAAACAGGACAAACTAGAATAAAATACAGGATTCCAACCGACCTTGAATTCCTTGCAAGTCTGTGAATTAAATAATAATTTAAAGGCCCTAGAAAGTTTTTGAAAACAAACATAAAAGACACCCTCCTTTGATAGTCTTTAAATGTTGTTGTTTGCGTGTACATATCTGGTGATTTCCACATTGTTTACTTTGTGTGTTTGGTATTTTAAATGCTTCCAACCTAAGCCCCACCGAGGCTTGTGTCAAATTTGGGAAGATATCCTATGAGTTTTTTTTTTTTTTTCTGTGGACTGTAACTTGTTTAAAAACAACTTGTTTAAAAAATCTAGATGAGGTTTTGAGGCCAATTATTAGAAGTGTGCTAATGTGTTTAGTTTAGTTGAAGTTCATCATTTTATACATTTAGGATGTGTAGACTTGTTTGGACATGTTTACCATTTATTCACATTTATTCAGCAGTTGAGGTTATGAGAAATCAACCCTTTTGCAATACATTTGCTAAAGAGCCTCATCAAGGCTCTTTTCATCCTGAAAAGTCCTTGAATTTGATGTGAACCAAGGTGTGGAGACCCTGAAAATAATTCTTTATCCTTGCAGTCTGTTATACATCTGATCATGGAAGGAACTTCTAAAAGTGATGCTGCCGCTGAGCCGAGTGTTGCTGCTCAGGTACCTTTCCTCCACCTCTGCACAACTTTAGAGAAAATCCAGAAGTCCAAACTCCGTCCAGATAAATCCAAGATCCTTGGGGATTTCATTAAATCATGGCGGGAATTTCATGCTGCACTCCACAAGGACGACCCAAAAACGACAGACTCCTTCTACCCTGCTATGCGCCTTATTGTGCCCCCGTTTGAACGAGAGAGAATGGCTTACGGCATCAAAGAGAGCATGCTGGCTAAGCTCTATATTGATGTTTTAGGACTCCCAAAGAATGGCCCCGATGCCAGTAAGCTGCTGAACTACCGCGCTCCGACCACATCCCAAGGAGAGGCTGGGGACTTTGCTGGCATGGCGTACTTTGTGCTAAAGAAACGATGTACCAGCCAAGGAAACCTCAGTATCAAAGAGGTCAATGACTTTCTAGACTCGGTGGCCATCAATAATGCCAGCAAGCAGAAGGATCTGGTGAAAAAGAGCCTTCTGCATCTTATCACTCAAAGCTCTGCTCTGGAGCAAAAGTGGCTCATTAGAATGATTCTGAAGGACATGAAGCTCGGAGTTAGCAAAGAAACCGTGCTCCAGGTCTTCCACCCGGACGCCGCGGAGCTCTACAACGTCAACACCGACTTAAAGAAAGTGTGCCAACAGCTGCATGACCCCTCTGTGTCTTTAAGCGACGTCTCGATAGAACTCTTCTCTGCTTTCAAGCCCATGCTGGCGGCGGTGGCTAACATCCGCAACGTAGAGAAGCAGATGGGAAACAGCCCCTTTTTCCTCGAGACAAAGCTTGACGGCGAGCGGATCCAGCTGCACAAGGACGGGGACGTGTACAAGTACTTCAGCCGGAACGCTTTCGAGTACACGCAGCAGTTTGGAGGATCGCCGCTCGAGGGGTCGCTCACTCCTTACATCCACAACGTCTTTAAAAGCAACATCGTCAACTGCATCCTGGACGGCGAGATGATGGCGTACAACCCGGTGGCAGAGACCTTCATGCAGAAAGGGAGCAAATTTGACATTAAGAGACTGGTGGACGACTCCGAGCTGCAGACGTGCTTCTGTGTGTTTGACGTGTTGCTGGTCAATAACCAAAAGCTCGGCAAAGAACCCCTAAAGAAGCGCTATGACACCCTTCAGACCATTTTCACGCCTGTCAAGGGGCGGATACACGTGGTGCCGAAGACAGAAGTCAGAACCATGCAAGAGGTGGTTGGTGCTCTCAATGACGCTATCGATAAGAGGGAGGAAGGGATCATGGTGAAGGACCCTCTTTCCATCTATAAACCTGATAAACGAGGCGAGGGCTGGCTAAAGATAAAGCCGGAATACATGGATGGCTTGATGGATGAGCTGGACTTGCTGATTGTCGGCGGTTACTGGGGGAAAGGAAGACGAGGAGGGATGATGTCCCACTTTCTATGCGCTGTGGCCGAAGCGCCAAAGCCTGGTGAGAAACCATCGGTCTTCCACTCCTTCTGCCGCATTGGCTCAGGTTACACTATGAAAGAGTTGTATGACCTGGGGTTAAAGCTGGCGAAGCACTGGAAAGTCTACCGGAAGAACGACCCGCCAGCATCCATCCTCTGCGGAGCAGAGAAACCAGAAGTCTACATCGAACCCTGCAACTCGGTCATCATCCAGGTCAAAGCGGCCGAGATCGTCGGCAGCGACATGTACAAGACCAATTGCACTCTGCGCTTCCCCAGAATCGAAAAGATCCGCGAGGACAAAGAGTGGCACCAGTGCATGACCCTGGCAGAGCTGGATCAGTTTCGCGGCAAGGCATCGGGAAAGCTGGCTTCGCGCCACCTCCGCATTGACGACGACAGCGAACCGCAGAAGAAGAAGAGGAAGCTGCCCGTCAAACCTAAGAAGGTGATCGGCGTCGTCGATCACTTTAGGCCCCAGGACCTGTCTGGGGTTTCCAAGGAGACGGATATGTTTGAGGATGTGGAGTTCTGCATCCTGAACGGCACTGAGGATCACCCAAAGTCCGAGCTTGAGAAGGGCGTGGCCAGGTAACGGCACATATTATAGTACTTCCTGTTTAGACTGATCTGATGATGTTGCTTTGTTTTGTAGAAATGAGGAGAAATGCAGACAATAGGGATAACGGTTATGGCTATTCCTTCTTCACCACTGGGTATGAAAAGGGGCTGTTCATTAGGCACCGTTTTGTTCCCACTCTGCGTCTAGGGTGACCTCATGGGAGGACATTTGGTTCCTGCTCCAACAACTAACCAAATAAAATGGTTCCTATGCCATCCAGTAGGGAAAGTAATGTCAGTCTCCACCTTCCTTTCTCTTCTTCTGCTCCATGTGTTCCTTTTTTCTACATTCTGTCCATCATTTTTGTGTCCAACCTTTCTTCCTTCTATCCCTCCTTCCTCCCTTTCTTCCTTTCCTGGACTCCTTATTCTGCTTACTTGCTTTTATTGGATTCCGCTTCCTTCCTTCCTTCCTTCCTTCCTTCCTTCCTTCCTTCCTTCCTTCCTTCCTTCCTTCCTTCCTTCCTTCCTTCCTTCCTTCCTTCCTTCCTTCCTTCCTTCCTTCCTTCCTTCCTCCCTCCCTCCCTCCCTCCCTCCCTCCCTCCCTCCCTCCCAATAAACATATGCTTATTACGTATGAAGTTAAGGTGAATGCTGATCCTTCCTTCCTTCCTTCCTTCCTTCCTTCCTTCCTTCCTTCCTTCCTTCCTTCCTTCCTTCCTTCCTTCCTTCCTTCCTTCCTTCCTTCCTTCCTTCCTTCCTTTCCTTCCTTCCTTTCTAATAAACATGCTTATTACGTATTAAGTTAAAGGGATAGTTCGGTATTTTTGACATGAATCTGTATGGCATCCCCATCACCAGTGTCATGCAATCACACTGACTTACCCCTGGCAGCGTCCTGTGAGCAGAGTTCTCGTCCAGTTTTGGTCAAGCCGAAAGTAGTCTGGCAGGTTTGCTAGACCCAGCGAAATAAAACGTTTCTCTTCCCAAAACATTATGTGTTCAAAAGAGTGATATTTTTGCATCCCAAAAACGTTGTAGTGGAAAAAGTCACACGTCGTTATCACTTGGTCCTATTTTCTCTCTGTTCGTATCAGTGCGCGCCGTCATTCAGACAGCTAGGGCCTACTAACCTGACAACAGCCAGATGCATGTCTCCCTCCGCCTAGCTCCTAGCTGGGCGGAGGGAGACATGCATCTGGCTGTTGTTGAGCTCGCTGTCTGAATGACGGCGCGCACTGATACGAACAGAGAGAAAATAGGACCAAGTGATAACGACGTGTGACTTTTTCCACTACAACGTTTTTGGGATGCAAAAATATCGCTCTTTTGAACACATAATGTTTTGGGAAGAGAAACGTTTTATTTCGCTGGCTCTAGCAAACCTGCCGGACTACTTTCGGCTTGACCAAAACTGGACGAGAACTCTGCTCACAGGACGCTGCCAGGGGTAAGTCAGTGTGATTGCATGACACTGGTGATGGGGATGCCATACAGATTCATGTCAAAAATACCGAACTATCCCTTTAAGGTGAACGCTAAACCTTCCTTCCTTCCTTCCTTCCTTCCTTCCTTCCTTCCTTCCTTCCTTCCTTCCTTCCTTCCTTCCTTCCTTCCTTCCTTCCTTCCTTCCTTCCTTCCTTCCTTCCTTCTTACTGGATCCTTTATATTATTTAAATAATGTGTTTAAAGATTAAAGTTAAAACTAAGAACTCTGAACATGAAGAAAACTTCAAACCGTTTTTGAAGTAATTTTCTATGGTCTACTATAAAAAAAAAGCAAAACCTTTATAATGTAACATTTTTCAGCAGAATGTCCCTAACAGTTGTTTTGGTTTAATCCGGTGCCTTGATGTCTCATTTTTCATTAGTTGGCTGAATCAAACCAGGATCAGAGCCAAAGATTGAACAAGGGTTTCAGATAATTCAGTTAAATGCAATCATTAATGAAATTAGATCATTTTTATATCCTTATCTTCTGTTATTCCCTGGTGTTTCCATGGAAAGGGAGGGAATAGGAATGCAAACATCAAAAAGTCTCCTCCCTCCTCTGCAGGAGGAAAACATGTTTTCACTTACTCCAAATCACATACACATATTGTTTACATGCATCATAAGTTTATCATTCATGCTGTTGCCCTCCTGTCAGGTGTGGAGGTATCGTGGTTCAGAACCCAGGGCGGGACACCTACTGCGTGATCGCTGGGGTGGAGAACATGCGCGTGAAGAACCTGATTTCATCGAACCAGCACGACGTGGTTTGGGCCTCCTGGCTGCTGGAGTGCCTGGACCAGAAGGAAGTGGTGCCATGGCAACCCCGCCACATGATCCACATGTCTCCCTCCACCCGGGAACATTTCGCCAAGGAGTACGACAGCCACGGCGACAGCTACTTCGTGGACACGGACGAGCAGCAGCTGCGGGAGGTGTTCGGCAGGATCAGCGCGGTGCAGGCTGTCAATCCGGCGCAGGTGGAGGAGCGCTACGGCTGGGAGGACCTCCCCACCAGCATGTTCAGACCGTTCACCATTTACTTAGACGTGTTTGCCAACATCGGAGATCCAGAAAGCGCCGTAGCGGCTACCGGTCTGGACATCAGGGCGCTGGAGGTTCGGTACCACGGAGGGACGGTGGTGCAGACGTTGGAGGAAGGCGTTTCATACGTGGTTGTTGAGAACGAGACCAGAATTCTGGATCTGAGGACTCTGAGACGCTGCTTTAGGAATAAGTTTAAGATCGTAAAAGATTCCTGGGTGACGGACTCTATCAAAGCAGGTTATCTGATGAGTGATGCTGATTACTTAGTGTGAGGTTAAACCAGTTTACATTTCAGCTGGTATTTTAAATTATTTCTTATTTTAATACAAATAAATGTAGAATATTAAATTGATCTGTAAATTTGCTTCTCAGGGTTTTAATTTAAAACATTTAAATTTGTGGTTTTTAATGATACAGAAAGGGAGATGGTATTGTCTATTTTTTCAGAATTATTGACACGATTTTTCTCTAAGAAGCATTTTAATGTTTTTTTTTGTGTAAAGTAAAATCTATATCTTTTACTAAATAAATATGGAAGTTGATCCCTAGTTAATTGGGGTAACACAGTGGTGGCAGCATCATGCTGTGGGAATTAACTCTACAGAGCGTTCCTGTCATCGTATTGCTTCCTTCATTTTACACCCCTGTAACAAGATGCACCGATGATTTAAATTTCAAATAAAAATGTGGAATGAGTTTGTTAGGGTATGAGAAATGCTTACCAGCGTTTCTATATTTAGCAAATGTTTGCATGATTTAGTTTGCCGTAGAATCATGTTTATTTTGTCATATTCTCTGAATACAATGGTTTGTTAGCAATATGTATTTTTTCTTTCGGCAGGCTTTTTGATTGGCAGCACATTTGTTTAGTCTAATAAGCTAAACATTCACTTTTTATCCACAGGAAGGAAAAACAGCCGAGACTTCAACCCTTTACCTGGATGTCATTACTCTAAATTATGATTTTGTATTTTTATTATTTGTTTGTTCTATTAAATTGAGAAAGCAAAATGTACTGAGCCATGATTGTCAACAGGTTATGAAATGTTTTCATTAAATAATTTTCCTCAAGCTTCATCAATTTAAAATAAATTCCAGGAGTTAAAAATCTAACAAAGTTTCTTACCCACATGGTCCACTTCCTGACATTTGGTATAACGTTTTCTGCCGAAGAAGAACCAAAGGCTAAAGGAGGCTCTTTTTTTCTTTTTTATGGGAGTTTTTAGCTTTAGGTTTTGGTGCAAAAACAATCTGTCATGCATGGTGGAGGATCTATGATGCTGTGGGAAAGCTGGATTATTTGAACCATTTTGGACAGGTGGAGATCATTGCATTAGTTCCTATTTTACCAAACAAGCCCAAGTCATTACTCCTCCACCACCATGCTTTAGAACATGAGTTATCTGTGCTGATATGCTGTGCTTGATTCACTTCCTTATAGCCCAAAAATCCCAGCTTAAGTTTTATCATGTAAATGATTTCGTTCTGGAACTGATTTTTTTTTTTTCCAAACTAAACCAAGACATGCTCAGTCCATCTGTTTCTAGTTCTCCCTTCTTTATCTACCCTCTGTTACTGGCTTTTGCCTGGGCCCTCCAGCGCACTCTTGAGCTGACAAGAAGAGGCCCCCGACCACCAGCTCAGCTTTTGGGGGGGGGGCCACACCTGATGGAGGTTTGTTTCTCCATAAATGTCACCAGCATATCTTGGGACTGAGTTATATGTTCTAACCTTCATCTGCATGGCCTCTTGGGTGCAGGAAAGCTGCCTGTGAGGACCCCGAGGACTGCTGTGTGGAAATGCCGCATGAATACATTTCCAAAGTGAGGTACGTGTTTTCTTAGAATCACTGGAAATGTAACATTCCTACAGTTTAGATGTATTTAAGCACTTTCAATTCAGTTTATTTCTATAGCCCAAATCCACAACACATGTCATCTCAAGGCACTTTACAGTTCACCAGATCATACAGTCAAATTGATTCAAAGTTTTCTATCCAAGGAAAACCAGTTGATTTCATTGACTCTTCAGCAATCCCTCACACTAAGCATGCTTGTAGCGACAGGGGAGAGGATAAATTCCCTTCTAACAGGAAGAAACCTCCAGCAGAATCGATGTGAGCGGCCATCTGCTGAGGCCGATTGGGATTCAAGGAGACAGAAGCAAAGATGCAAAAGGCGGCCCCGTCCAGGAAACACACAGCCAGGCAGACGAGCTCCGAACCAGCTCCCATGTCAGATGATGAAGAGAGAACTTCCAGCAAGTCAGAGAAACAGGACTACACTGGAAAAACATGCTGATCTCCAGTACAAGTAAAGATTTTGATGGCAGCAGCACAGCTGATATTTCTCCCCAGGATGGAGTCACAGCCAAACAGGAACAGATGAGGCGAAGCTACTATGAGAAAAAGCAAAGAGAGCATAGCGTTAGAGATTGAAATAATAGATTCTGCAGATTGGGAGAATAGAGATATAATGAAGCAGAATGAAGAAAAAGGGGTCCCTATGTCCTCCAGCAGTCTAAGCCTATAGCAGCATAGCTATAGAGATAGCTCAGGATAACCTGAGTCACCCTAACTATAAGCGTTATCAAAAAGGAAAGTTTTAAGTCTAACAAATTCTAGGAACCACTAGTAAACCTTCAGATTGAAAGTGAAGTTCTCTGTTAGGAACATAACAAGCAATCATATCTCTGATATAAGATGGAGCTTGGCCATTTAAGGCTTTATATGTGAGAAGGAGGATTTTAAATTCTATTATATATACTTTGGATCAAAAGAAGCTTAAAAGTTTGAGGGAAATATTTGGTGCTTATGAAATATGTGGCCCAGTAAGCACTCTGTAATCCATCGCCCACTCTGGACTATTTCTAGGTGATTCAGAGTGAGCGTTTTGAGTGACAGCCTTTAATTAGAGGTACTCAACCAGTGCTTATTCCTGCATAGTGTTGCAAGGGTGAAGCCTTGATAAGCCCAACTGTTGGTCCTCTGAAAGAACTACCATGGAGCAGATCCAGAGGATTTGCATCTTTGCAGAGACGCAGGGGCTGAGCTAGATGGGGGGCCACCCCTATCATTTTCCCCTCTAATACAGATGGTGGCAGCAGTAATACTCTCAAGGAGAATATTCAAAACATTGAAATTTTTTGTGGTTAATTATACACATCAATATACTAAGATAAGTACAGAACTCCTGCTCTTTTCAGAACTAGATTTTGTGTTCTATGGGGTAAAGAGAAAATGATGTGTCTCTGCAAGTCATCTAGGAGTCTTTAGTGAAATCATAGATAAATAGCTATTTTAATAAAAAGGTATTAAAGAATCAATTTATGTAGATATTAGTGCTTGTAAATATGAATTTTATGCAGAAGGTTTATTGACACAAGTAGGTAAGTAATGATCATGGAAAAGATTTACGCCCCCCCTAGATTTCTCTAAAACTTTGAGTTTTGAGTGATTTTCTTTTGCATAATTTCAGGTTCTTACATTTAGTAATCAGCTGGTGATAAGGCAGCCTCCATCTGCTGCTGCTACATTACAAAATAAAACATTTTTCTTTGTTTTTGCACGCGCCTGGTTTTATGTCACCTTCTTTCTTCTTCTTAACTTTCTCCCCTGTGGATCTGAAGGGTGGATCACATTATTAAGTTTAAACTCACCTCTTTGTGTGAACATTTTAGCGCAGTCGCTCTGGCTTGATGCGCCCTTGAACGACGGATGAAGCGACTGCTGAGCGCGCGCATAACGTCAGAGTTGGATAAGCTTCGTCAGGTTCGCGAGATTGCGGAGAGAAAACCGGATATTAAGAGGCGAGACCTTCAAAATAAAACGGAAAGAGGGACGCTCGAAAAAGCACAGGTTGTCCTCAAATATTAAATCTTAAATTTTACTCGGCTGTAAAGCATTAAAGAAATATCTATTTGGTATTTATTATTGCATACACTGTATGTCATCATTAGTCTAGCTGTGGCTTGTCACAGTAATGGCCTTAAAAGCTAGTGGTGTAGGGAATGGTGCATTCAAATATCCTTGGAAAACAGAATTTTCAATTTCCAGTGCAGTTAAAATGTTCATTCATATACCCTTCTATAGTTTAACCCTTTAAAGCCTGAACCATGAAATAATTGAAAGAACATTCAATTTTCTCAAAATTAAAATGTCAGTGAACTTTCTGTAAAATGTAAGTTAAATTAGGTCTTTTTTTGTGCATCAAATGTGATACATAAGGCAATTTTGTATAATCTTTATTACATTTTCTGTTCACTACATGTGTCTGAATATTTAAGTCAGTGTTTCAACAACATAAACATCACACTGATGATGCAGAAGTCTCAAAAACTAATGTATCAAATATGATACACTTGGCTTAAAAGGGTTAAAGTCCCTTTAAATGGTATCCCTATCTGGAATTAGCACGGAGCAGATTGTCTTAAAAAAAAAAAAAATAATATATATATATATGTGTGTGTGTGTGTATGTATGTATGTATTTCTTTTTATTTTTTTAATGGTTTATAAAACATTAAAATACAAAAAAAGTATATATTTTATGTTATTAGTATAAACTTCAATAATAATCTGGCAAAAATACATAATAAGTTTTAATTGAATGCATTTATTAAGCATTTTTATGTTGAAATATTTTTTATCTACTAGGTGAAGAGATGCAGTATTGTATTTTTTCCTATATTTAAATGATTGTACACAGGGTTTTAATGCTCATCATCATTTCTAATGGAGGTCTTCAACAGGGGGTCCGTGACCCCTAGGGGGTCCACAGAGGTACTGCATCGGGGTCATGAAAATTTTTGGTTGATTACGGTAGACTTTTTTATTTCTATTCCTCTCTGCAATTTTTTCCACTAAATGAAATGTGTTTAAATCCACATTAACATGATTTCAACAGACTGTAGTAAACAGATAAATGAAGGCAGAAGATGTCTGGCAGTCATCAATGCACACATTCAGCGACACACAGGAGCTCTTTAAGTTTAGCCGCATGTCGTTTTGTTTAGCCGCATGTCGTCATTCAACCGCTGGTTGTCTAGGTGGTGTCCTGAAAACAACGTGGGCTACATTAATAATTGGCAATCCTTTTGGGGAAAGCCTGGTCTGATTCGGAGAGACGGCATCCATCCCACTTTGGATGGTGCAGCTCTTCTTTCTAGGAATCTGGCCACATTTATTAGTCCTCCAAAACCCTGACCACCCAGGATGCAGACCAGGAAGCAGAGTTGTAGTTTAACACACATCTCTGCAGCTTCTCTACTGTTACCCACTCTTTACTCCATCCAGACAGTGTCTTGCCCACGACCAAAATCTAATAAATTAGCAAAGATTCCCAAAGGAGTAAATCATGATAATCTAATTAAAATCAAAATAACTCCAATTGGGGAAAAAGTTAAAACAATTAAATGTGGTCTGTTTAACATAAGATCGCTTTCCTCTAAAAGTCTACTAGTTAATGACTTGATTTGTGATAATCACATTGACTTGTTTTGCCTTACAGAAACCTGGCTGCAGCAAGAGGATTATGTGAGCATAAATGAGGCAACTCCTTCAAGCTATTTAAATTTTCACATACCCAGAAGTTCTGGGCGAGGAGGAGGAGTAGCAACAATCTTCCAGTCTGACTTACTGATTACTCCCAAAACAATTAATACCTACAACTCTTTTGAACATTTAACCCTTAATTTCCCTGATCCAAATTTCAAGGCAAGAAAACCTCTTCTTTTTGTAACTTTGTATCGTCCACCAGGTCCTTACTCTGAATTTTTAGATGAGTTTTCAGAGTTCCTTTCTGATTTGGTATTAAATACTGACAGGGTCATCATAGTGGGAGATTTTAACATCCATGCTGACATTGAAGGCGATAGCTTAAGAGCAGCCTTTAATGCTATCTTAGACACTATTGGCTTTGTTCAGAGTGTGAATAGTCCCACGCATTATCATCTTCATACTTTGGATCTTGTGCTGATATACGGCATAGAATGTGAAGAAATAACAGTATTTCCTCACAACCCTGTCCTCTCTGACCACTTTCTAATAACCTTCAGGATTACTTTAACAGAGTTCTCCTCCCCCAAAAGAAGGTTCAATTGTAGTAGATCTTTATCAGATAGTGCAGTTATAAATTTTAAAGAATCTGCTTCACTTTCTCTCTCCTCTGTGTCGCTGAACAGTGCTGCAGAGTGCAAAAGCTAAACTTATTCCCCTTCACAGGTTGATGATTTTGTTGATGGGGTTGCTAGTTCTCTGTGTATTGCCTTAGACAACGCAGCTCCTTTGAAAATGAAAACCGTTAAAAATAGAAAGCTTGCTCCTTGGTTTAATGCAGAGCTGCGTACTTTGAAGCAAAATGCTAGGAAACTGGAGAGAAAATATCGCTCCACAGGCCTGCGAGATTCCTTCCTAGTCTGGAAAAATGGTTTACTGCTGTATAAGAGGACCCTTTGTAAAGCAAGAGCAGCATACTTCTCCTCATTAATAGAGGAGAATAAGAATAATCCTAGATTTCTTTTTAATACAGTTGCCAAACTCACCCAGAGCCATAGCTCTGTTGAACCGTCCATTCCACCTGCTCTTAGCAGCAATGATTTTATGGGATTCTTTATAAATAAGATTGATCTTATTAAAAATAAGATCATAAGCACTCCTCTATCCGTGATTGTACCTGAGGTAGTCATGGAATCTGAACCGGGTTTAGACTGCTTTGATCCAGTTGAACTTTCTGAATTAGCAAAATTATTGTCTTCATCTAAGCCTTCAACTTGTATGTTAGATCCAGTTCCAACCAGGTTATTTAAGGAGGTATTCCCTTTGATCTCCTCCTCCATTTTAGATGTGATTAATCTATCTCTGTTACAGGGATATGTACCTAAAGCTTTTAAGGTTGCTGTAATTAAACCTCTGCTTAAGAAACCGTCTCTTGACCCAGATGACTTGGTCAATTATAGACCTATATCCAATCTTCCTTTATTATCCAAAATTCTTGAGAAAGTAGTTGCCAAACAAGTGTGCGGTCACTTACACCATAATGAACTTTTTGAAGAGTTTCAGTCTGGCTTTAGAGCTCATCATAGCACTGAAACAGCTCTGGTGAAAGTCACTAATGATATTCTCATGGCCTCAGATAATGGACTTGTATCTGTGCTCGTCCTGTTGGATCTTAGTGCTGCATTTGATACAGTTGACCATAATATTCTTTTAGAAAGACTTGAATATTTTGTTGGAATTAAAGGAACAGCACTAGACTGGTTTAAATCTTATCTATCTGATCGAATTCAGTTTGTTCATGTTAATGATAGATCTTCAACATGCTCAAAGGTTATCTGTGGAGTACCACAGGGATCAGTGCTAGGACCAATTCTCTTTACTTTATACATGCTCCCAATTGGTAGAATTATTAGACAGCATGGGATTAATTTCCACTGTTATGCTGATGATACACAGCTATATCTGTCTATAAATCCAGATGAAGCTAACCCATTACATAGATTACAGGCATGTCTTGAAGACATAAAAACCTGGATGACTCTTAACTTTCTGCTTCTGAATGCAGACAAAACAGAAGTTATAGTCTTTGGACCAGAGTCTCTGAAAAAGAAACTGATTAGCCAGTCACTTCATTTGGATGGGATTAAACTGATTTTAGATAATAAAGTAAAAAATCTTGGTGTTATTTTTGATCAGGACCTGTCATTTAAATCCCATATCAAAGAGGTTTCTAGAATTTCCTTCTTTCATCTGAGGAATATTGCAAAAATTAGAAATATCCTGTCCAGGGGTGATGCTGAGAAACTAGTCCATGCATTTGTTACTTCAAGGCTGGACTATTGTAATTCTTTACTATCAGGAAGTCCACAAACTGTAGTTAAAAGCCTTCAGCTGATCCAAAATGCTGCAGCCAGAGTTCTGATGAAAATTAAAAAGAGAGATCACATCTCTCCTATCCTGGCTTCTCTTCATTGGCTTCCTGTTAAATCAAGAATAGAATTTAAAATCCTCCTTCTCACATATAAAGCCTTAAATGGCCAAGCTCCATCTTATATCAGAGATCTGATTGTTCCTTATGTTCCTAACAGAGCACTTTGCTCTCAATCTTCAGGTTTACTAGTGGTTCCTAGAATTTCTAAAAGTAGAATGGGAGGCAGATCTTTTAGTTATCAGGCTCCTCTCCTGTGGAACCAACTACCAGTTTTAGTCCTAGAGGCAGACACCCTGTCTACTTTAAAGGCTAGGCTTAAAACTTTCCTTTTTGATAAAGCTTATAGTTAGGGTGGCTCAGGTTATCCTGAGCTATCTCTATAGTTATGCTGCTATAGGCTTAGACTTTTGGAGGACATAGGGACCCCCATTTCATCATTCTGCTTCATTCTCTCTCTGTTCTCCTATTCTGCAGAATCTGTTAGTTCAATCTCTAACCTTCTGCTCTCTCTGCTTTTCCTCAGAGTAGCTTTGCCTCGTCTGTTCCTGTTTGGCTGTGACGTCATCCTGGAAAGAAACATCAGCTGTGCTGCTTCTATCAACACCCTTGTTTATAGATGTTGGAGATCGGCCTGTTTTCCAGTGTGGTCCTGTTTCTCTGACCGTGACTGGGTGGATGTGCTCTCTTCGTCCTCTGGCATGGGAGCTGCCTTGGAGCTCGTCTGCCTGGCTGTGTGTTTCCTGGACGGGGCCGCCTTTTACAGCTGCTTTTTGTATCTCTGCTTCTGTCTCCTTGAACCCCAGTCGGCCTCGGCAGATGGCCGCTCACACTGAGCCTGGTTCTGCTGGAGGTTTCTTCCTGTTAAAAGGGAGTTTTTCCTCTCCACTGTCGCTACAAGCATGCTTAGTGTGGGGGATTGTATTTGAGTCAATGAGTCAATGCAATCAACTGGTTTTCCTTAGATAGAAAACTTTGTATCGATTTGACTGTATGATCTGGTTGAACTGTAAAGTGCCTTGAGATGACATGTGTTGTGAATTTGGCGCTATATAAATAAACTGAATTGAATTGAATTGAATTTAAGCTGGGCACCGTTTCATTCACAACACCTGTCCCATCAACCATCAGAATCAGAAATACTTTAATAATCCCAGGGCAAAATTAATTTCGTTACATTACTCCATCTGTAATAGAGTGACTATAGGAGCAGTTTGATAGAACACAATTTCATACAATATATATAATTAGGGTCCCCGCTCCATCTCGCCATCAGTTTGGGGGTCCTTGAAAACATTTGAAGACCCCTGATTTATAACATACATATATATTTTTGTTGTCTAAATGTCTTAAAATCCTTGTCTTTGCCAATGCACTGAAACTTCCAGCACTTCCTGAGGAAGTATATCATCGATATATCAGAACAGTTATTTTAAATCAGGTATTTTAGCATTTTGTTTTCATGCACAATTACTCTTTTTATGTTTGTCATGCCAGGTCTTCATTTAGATTATATTCAGCATCATGCTTTTAAAAACATAATGTATGTGATGAAAAATCTAAATAGTTATTGCATTTTTGAAACCTAATAGCTCCAACCTTCACTCCTAATTAACATACAGTGAAGAATAAACTTGTTGAGACTTTAACAATAAAGCTGATATATAGGGGTTAAAAGCAATATATGAAAGTTAATAATATATATTTTTTAAAACAGTATTTTAGTGTTAGTAGAAGGGAATGACTCTAAAGGGTGTATAAACACTCATTTATAGAGTAGGGGGGAAAAAAAGTCACAGTTGACTTGTGAGATCTTATTTTGAAGTTTTCAACCGGAAGCAATGTCACGTTTCTTTGCGGACTTGACGCAGGCTGCTGCAAACACACCGTCTCTTGGCGGACATGGCGGCAACTTGATGAAGGCGGCGAGGGCTTGAAAAAGGAGAGAGAGAAAAGGCGTCTGTAGCAGGTGGGAGCTAGGCCCCATCCGCCGACACAAAAAGGCAACAGTCCTTCGCCATGTTGGAAGACGATAGCGCCCTTGTCCGCGCACGACCGAGGCCGGGGAAGACGTAAGCGCGTCGGTGAGTGTTTCTAAAAGCGGAGTCGCGGCTACGCAGAGGAGCGGCGCCGCGCGGCAGCTCGGGGCGGACGGCAGGAGGACAGCCATGGAGGATGCGGCCCGCGGTCGCAGGAGTCTGATTTCCCACCCGGCCCACGCTCCTTTGGATGGGAATTACCGCTGATCGCCACGGAAAGCCGGGACAACCCACGAACCGACTCTTGAGGGGAGGAAAACGCGATCGGCTCCCGACGTCCATGACTGTTGCGGCAGAGGAGCCCCCACGGTGGAGTCGGCCGGTTCCCAAAATATGACCAGGGGTGCTGGGACGTGTTGGCAGCAAGAAGACGACGACGGCTTCCAAATCTGGCTAGAGCCCCCCCGCGACCACCAAAAGCCATTCACCGACTCCGAGAGGGCGCAGAGATGGCGACTGTCCTTGGCATCTCTCCTGTTCCTCACCGTCCTCCTCTCTGATCGTCTGTGGTTCTGCGCCGAGGCCAGGCTGGCCCGAACCCCGGACAAGTTCGCGTCCTCCCACCTCCACTCCCCCCACACCCACTCGGCGCACATTAGCCTCATAGAGAACCCCCACGCTATTTTTCTAGGAAACTCCACCAAACATCTGTGGCGCCTTGAAACTCGCCACCGGGACAGTTCGTCCGGCGACTGCTTCGCCTTCGCGGATGCGGACGACCTGTGCCGGGGCCTCTCCGACCAACAGGGGCCGCGGGTCGCTAACATGAGCGACTTGTTCCTGTCCTTTTGTAACTCCTACTCCCTGCTGGATCTGTTCGAGGGCTCGGTGAGCCCGGACAACCTGAACTGCAGCGTCCAGGCGCTGGAGGAGGGCGACGCGACGCGATGCAGCGAGTGCGTCCAGGCGTACCAGCGCTACGACCAGCACGCCCAGGAGAAATACGAGGACTTTGAGCTCCTGACTCAGAAATACGAGCCAGGGGCTTATTCGGTGAGGACGTGCATGGAGCAGTGCAAGGTAGGTGGAGGGAGGGGGGGTGATGGGGTGGCCATCTGTTGATTTGGGCCCGGATAGATGCCAGTTTTGGTCCTCCTGCTCCTGTCGCCATGGAGACGGATGTCAGATCCAAGGAGACTCCCGCTCTCATTCATCTCTTCATTGCATATAGGCCCCCATGCTAATGTTCAGATCGAGGCCCCGTTAGTGACTCCCCCCCCCCCCTTTTTTTTTTTTTTTTTTTTTTTTTTTTGCGCATAAGCTGCCATCGATTTGCGCGATAAGAGCTGCCTCTGCCTATATAGAACATCGCCTTTACAATAAGGCTGATAGCTTGTGCAAACATCTACTCTGAGCCCTGTGTGTGCTGTCGCAGTCCGACAGGTGTTCACCGCGGCCGCTCTACTCCACATCGAGTGCAGTTTCATTAAAGTCAAGAGGTGGTTTCCCTGGTTAATGTGCCGGAAGTCGTTTTTATGTGTGTTTGCACATCAGCGAGGCTGCCCGTCTCCTCTGGGCTTGTTTGATTTGCCCACAGCTGTGTTCAGCACCGCGGACAGCGCCAGGCTGCTGCTGCTGAATGGCGCTACCCAGGCTCCATTCACAGAAACAACAGAGGCGTAGCCAGAAGATTTTAATAAGGGGGGCCAGGCAATAACCAATGAACACAGAGGGGGTGATAGGTGCTACAACCTGAGGGCCAATCTACGCTGTTCCAAAAGGAAAATGAATAACCATAACATCCATATTTTCTAAATAAACAAAAACTATACTTTCCTACAGCCTGTGCTAACAAATAGACGCATATATTTAAACATCCATGCCCAACAGTTTTTAGTTCTGAGGCGAACGTCTTAATCGTTATCATTACCAGAGATGGCAAAAGTACTCACTTTCTGTACTTGAGTAAAAGTACAAATACTTGTGTAAAAAATACTCTGGTAAAAGTGGAAGTACTGATTAAACTTCTTTACTCAAGTAAAAGTAACAAAGTACAGGCTTGTAAATTTACTTAAAGTATAAAAGTAAAAGTAGAAACCACTTTTTTCATGCCGTTGCCTACATTTTAAATGGATGTCTGCCAATAGGAATAGATCTCCGTTGTGTTCAATTTCAATCATCTCGTCGTCCATGCTACTATGCTAACGCCGCCGCCACCAAGCTGCAATGATTTGCCGCGAATGAATACCGCCGAATCTGTCGATTCATCTTGTAGTGGTGCGTCAAATGCAACGTAGATTCCCATCCAATTAGATTGAATTCTGTATTGATGACGCGAAAAATAATAACGGTAACTCCATTGAAATGATTCAAAACTAAAGTAACGAGCAAATTTTTTTAAATGTAAGGAGTAGAAAGTACAGATATTTGTGTAAAAATGTAAGGAGTAGAAGTAAAAAGTCGCCATAAAAATAAGTAGTAAAGTAAAGTAAAAATATCAGAAAAATCTACTTGAGTACAGTAACGAAGTATTTGTACTTTGTTACTTCCCATCTCTGATCATTACTAACCTGCTTTTATTAATAATCATTCAGCATAACATTTATATTTACATGTACTAATATCTACACTACATATTATTAAAGTAGTAGTATCTCTGATTTCAGTGAAGATTCCTACACATATTTTTCTCTTTATATAAGACAAAATCTAGGTTTGAAAAGAGCATGAATTCTGTATTTATTTTTAATGTCAGTATATTGATGTGCATAATTATTAACAGGGTTTTTCTTGTCAGGTAAGTTAAGATATAAGTTATAAGTTAGAATATTCCTCTTGAGAGTATTACTGCTGCCACCGTCTGTATTATAGGGAATAAATGGTAGGGGGGGCCAATGATTAGGTAACCTGGCCCCCCATCTAGCTCCGCCCCTGAAAAAGAAGCCCTAGTCAATCCCGGATGGCCTCCATTTACTCTACTGGTTACAGACACTGAGAGCACAGCTGCAAAAAAAAAAAACAAACTTAAAAATGAAAAGAAAGATTAAAATAGTAAAATATCTTAAATTTCCGTTTAACTTTGTGTGCAGATTGCCTCTTTAGGAAACAATGTCTTCCATTTGATCTTGCTACCGCCTTTATTTTTCATTTATTTTATTCTCTTATGTGTTAGCTAACACAAAGCAGTGGCTAACTGTGAAGCAGAAAGGAAACCATTTGTCGTTTCTGCAGTGAAACATGGCGGTGGTAGCATTATGCCTTCTTTTAATATAGAATTTGTGTGGCATGTATTTGTATGTAGCTGATTCAAATCAATACTTCCAAAACCCAAATATCACAAGAGTCACTGCTGTGTCTCTTTTGAAGGATCATTAGCATTTATGCACATCTAAGACCTAAAACTATTGCGCAGTTTTATATATTTTAGTTATTTATTTGAAAAATTTACCAAATGTTGCCACCTTACCTGATATCTGCAAATGCAGTGAAGTCTGGCCTTTGACTGGGCCATTTTAAGGCATGAATCTAATCTGTTTCATTCTTTTTATGGCTGGATGTTTCCAGATGGTGGGTCACCTTCAGTCTCACCTTTTTTCATGTCTCCAGTATATCTTCTCCCTTCTATTTCGCTCCATCCGTCCTGAAGAGCATCCAGACTCTCTACAGCCCCTCCAGAGTTTGTGATTTCCAGTCATATTAAATGCCAAAGAAATACATCTGAGTTTGTTGTGGTAACACGACTAAATATCATAGGAGTTTAGAGGTTTTTTTCCATCATATTCTCTGTTTTCCAGAGCTGAACGCTCATCTCTGAACATTATTTCATGTTTTTATCTTGCAACAAACTCAGGTCCGTTCTCTATGCTCACCCTTTGGCATTTGTAGGGAAAACAGTCATTTAGTCACGCTGCTAATTTCTTTAACAGTGACCATTATCCTTCACCTTCCTTGATTATAGGTTTTCTCTGGGCCTTTATGTGTTACAGAAAGATCAGCATGACTCAAGCGATAATGTGGAGCTCTGGTGGAGTTAATGGCTACCTGCCTCGGTGAGGGTTAACCGTTTAAGTTGTCTCAGACGGATATGTGTGGTTTCCCCGCATGATCGTAGCCCCTACGGAGGCGCGTAGCAGGAAAACATTAAAGAAACGGAGCTTTGCCTTATTGTCTCGCTCATAGGAAACGTTTACTAGAGGGGCCATCTCTGACATTTGGAGTTTGTCTGTTTTGTTGAGTGGGAGCATCTCTGCTGGTCCGCAGGTGGTGCTTTGATTCTTCTAGCCTGAGGTAAAACATCACACGGCGAACACGGCCAGCGTTGCTGGTCCTCACAATGGGATCCTCCATCATCTGGCTGGTTGGAAGCCCGCCACTCGTTCATTCATGCTGTCAGAACCTTCAGAAAACCAGAACTGAGGCACTAAGCAGAAGTGTTTCCCAGCTCACTCATTTTTCTGACATTAACAAAGTCTGCTTCAGTTGGGCCTTTATAAATGAGGCCTTATTCCACTTGCAGAGATCTAAAATGTCTTAAAGATAAAACAGACATAACATCCTAGATAGAAAATGGCATCAGGGATTATTTAGGTGCAAACTTGGGCTGAGAAAAACTGATCACTGAGTGCTTTCGTTTGATCTCGATGTCTAAACTCAACTCGGTGTGTCTTATACCCCTAAATAAAAGCAAATAAAATGAACTGCCCTCAGGAGTTCTGTTTCTGAATAAATTTGTTGAGCCTGCTTTTGTATAATTTAATCTCACTGTTAATCCAGCTGTGCCGTGAAGGCTCCAGAGGTTTGTTAGAGGACATTGATGAACAAACAGCATCATCGACTCCAAGGAAGGCTGCAGACGTGTCTGGAATAAAATCTGGAGAAGTTTGAAACCAAATAAAGAAGCAGATAATCTGAGCATTAAACCTTAAAAGCTCAAGCTTATTGGTTGGATGCTGGCTGCCTTTATAGTCTTGATTTAATTTTCATCGTCTGTGGCCTTTATTTATTAAAGTTGAGAGTATTTGAAGACGGAAAATAGTTTTTAGAAATGAGTTCATTGGGATAACTTCCCACAGTTGGACCAATAGTTCATCTTGATTTCTTGTTGATACAAGCGTATGTGAAGCCATTTGCAAAACAAGTTAATATGTTTTGTATACCTCTTGAAAGCGTCCCTTGGGAGATGTTCAAGGCACATAACACCAGGAAGAGGCCTAGAGGACGGCCCAGGACACTATGAAGGGACTTCGTCTCTTGGTTGGCTCTGGAAGGTTTCAGGCTTCCTTCTGAGGAGCTGGGAGTGTCCGCTGAGACTGGAAGGCTACCAGCTGGAGAAGAGTAGTTTAAATAATTTTTTACAATTTATACTTAAGTGTTGGTAGAAGTGCACCAACTTCGGTGTCTCTTGTTTTACATACGATACGTCATAATGCAGAGGAATACGGAGGCACTGATATCAAAACCTGAGTCGTTGTTGTTTTCCAATAAAAATACTGTCATATATGTCTTTACTGTTTAGAAAACATGAAAGACAGAGTGCTAAAATAGCTTTTCTGCTCAAATAAACACCCACAATCCTTTGCTACATAGCTATCACTTTACTGACTGAACAAACAGTTCAGCTGGTAAATAATAACAAAATAATAAACTCTCAGCTCTATTTATTTAGCTGCAATTTTCTATTTTAGCCACTAGATGGCACTGTAGCATATTAAATTCGTTGTTTTTGATTTTTTTTTTCTAAAAAGAAAACCATATTTGCGAAAATTTAAAGTAGCGTTAAGTTTAAAGGCACAGAACATACCAACGAGTGCAAACACCGCTGTCCTCTCAGCTCAGTTTTGCTTTGTAAGATTAAGTTTTTTTTGCAGAAATCAGAGCTCAGAAAGTTGGATGATTATTCTAGAAAGGACTGTAGGTGCAGAAACACCCCCAGCTGTCTCTTGGCTACCCCCACAGAGTAGCCAGGCGCCTTTACTGTCAAAATGTCTACGTAGGATGGGAAAATTGCAGTTCACTCAACAGTCTGCCTTGTTTGTTGTAATTACTGTTATAATAATGATCTGAAACTATGCACACAAAAA